GCACTACAATTTGCTCATAAGCCAACTAGTGAGTTGGACTTTTGAAATTGGGCTTTTGGGCCCAAGTGGAATGCTTATACATTACAAACACCAAACCGACTTGACTCGGAGCCGCTCCATGACGTCATCCTTGTGTAAACAATATTCCCCTGAGCGATTCAACAGTCAACAAATTCATCGCCCAGATCCAACGGCCGTTATTGGGACTCGTGGATTAATCTGACGGTCACCAGCAAAAAATGAATTCCGTTTTTAAATAAAAACACCAAAAACTCTCAAACCCAAAAAAAAAAAAAAACACTCTGCACCGGCGAAAATGGCGTCTGCTTCTTCATCGCTGACTATGTCACATGCTTTCCTTGCTCGGCCTTCGTCGAAGCGTCGCTCTCCTCTGCCTACGGATCGCCACGTGTCCCTGTCTTCTCCTTCCTTTCCCCGTCTCAGAGCCTCCCCTATTACGCTCCGCCGCCGGGTATCTGTGCGTGCCTCCGCCGCGACTGATGTGGCTCTGGTGGAAAAATCGGTGAATACGATCAGGTTTCTGGCGATCGATGCGGTCGAGAAAGCCAAATCGGGTCACCCGGGACTGCCTATGGGATGTGCCCCAATGGGTCATATATTGTTCGACGAAGTGATCAAGTACAACCCTAAGAATCCCTACTGGTTTAATCGCGATCGTTTCATTTTGTCTGCCGGCCATGGTTGCATGCTCCAGTACGCATTGCTTCACCTCGCAGGCTACGACAGCGTCAGGGTAACTCTTGTTTTGCTTTTTCCTTTGAACGGATTGATTGATTTGGTTCTGGATCATGCTTGGAATGATCTGTTTTCTTAATAGCTTTCTACTGCTTGTGCTAATGCTTTGTGTTTGAGTATTATTAACTTATTTTGGTTGAATTTAGGAAGAAGATTTGAAGAACTTCCGTCAGTGGGGAAGTAGGACTCCTGGACACCCCGAGAATTTCGAGACTCCTGGTGTTGAAGTCACCACTGGTTTGATTCTCTCGGCTTTTTTTAACACATCAGAATTCATGCTTGTAAAGTCCAACAGTTAATGAATTCTTTCTTTGTATAGGTCCGCTTGGGCAAGGAATTGCAAATGCTGTGGGTTTGGCACTTGCGGAGAAGCATTTGGCTGCTAGATTCAACAAACCAGACAATGAAATTGTCGACCATTACACGTAAAACTATCTATATGCTCATGGCTCTTTAGTGTTTGTTGCCTTTTCTAGCTTGATGAGGTAGTGTATTGTGCTGACTTCAGTTTTCTGTAGGTATGCTATTCTCGGTGATGGATGTCAAATGGAAGGAATTGCGAATGAAGCTTGTTCTCTTGCGGGGCACTGGGGACTGGGGAAGCTCATAGCCTTTTATGATGACAACCACATCTCGATTGACGGTGATACAGAGATAGCCTTTACCGAGAATGTGGAAACACGTTTTGAGGGTCTCGGGTGGCATGTCATATGGGTGAAGAATGGAAACGCTGGTTATGATGAAATCCGTGCTGCCATTAGGGAAGCTAAGGCTGTTAAAGACAAACCCACTTTGATCAAGGTGACCCATGTTCTTCTTATTCGTAGTTAATCCTCTACTGTGACAGTCAAAACACTTTGGCATGTGTCTTGGCTTGGTTATTACAGATGCATAAAGTGGTCTTAAAGAAATGTGTTCAACTCCATCTCTACTTTATATTGAAAATTGTATTCCTGATGTGTTCTTATATTCTTTCATTATTCAAGGATAATGGTGATTTACGGTTGGTTTCTTGAAATGGACAGATAACTACAACCATTGGTTATGGATCACCAAACAAGGCAAATTCTTACAGTGTGCACGGGAGTGCATTAGGTGAAAAGGAAGTTGATGCTACCAGAAAGAATCTTGGATGGCCATATGGGCCTTTCCATGTTCCTGAAGATATCAAGAGGTTAGCGGCCTTAATTGAGTATGTTGTAATGTACTCAAGTAAGTATGATGTTAATGGCACCATTTTGGTTTCCACAGCCACTGGAGTCGTCATATCCCTCAAGGAGCTGCTCTTGAATCAGAATGGAATGCTAAGTTTGCCGACTATGAAAAGAAGTACCCACAAGAAGCTGCAGAACTGAAATCTATAGTTACTGTTGACTTACCTAATGGCTGGGAAAAATCATTGCCGGTAAGCCTGAAACTTATTTTTATTTAGGAAACCTTACTTAGAAAAATGAAAGATCAAGTGCATGGAGGAACAGAGCTATCTATTTTCATGAGTTTTGGATAACAAATGTTAAGAGCAAATGATAAAGGTTCCATCTTTTTGTACACATGTAAAGAATGTAATCTGTTGTTAAAGATCTCTGTGGTGTGGCTAATATGGTTTGATTCTCCTTTTTTTTTTTACCCAGACTTATACGCCCGAGAGTCCTGCAGATGCAACAAGAAACCTCTCCCAACAGTGTCTTAATGCCCTTGCAAAGGTTCTTCCTGGGTTCCTCGGTGGGAGTGCTGACCTTGCTTCATCTAACATGACATTGCTCAAAATGTTTGGGGACTTCCAAAAGAACGCACCTGAAGAGCGAAACCTTAGGTTTGGTGTCAGGGAACACAGCATGGGAGCTATCTGCAATGGCATAACCTGTCACAGCCCGGGGCTTATTCCTTACTGTGCTACGTTCTTTGTCTTCACAGACTACATGAGAGCTGCCATCAGGCTCTCTGCGCTATCTCAGGCCGGGGTTATCTACGTAATGACCCATGATTCAATCGGTCTTGGGGAAGATGGACCGACCCACCAGCCTATTGAACACGTGGCTAGCTTCCGGGCCATGCCTAATATCTTGATGCTGAGGCCAGCCGATGGAACTGAAACCGCAGGGGCATACAAAGTTGCTGTAGAGAACAGAAAGAGGCCTTCGATCCTGGCTCTGTCGAGACAAAAACTTCCCCATTTACCTGGAACTTTGATTGAGGGAGTGGAGAAGGGAGGATATGTAATATCGGACAACTCCAGAGGTAATAAACCAGACGTAATCCTGATGGGGACAGGGTCGGAGCTAGAGATAGCTGCGAAGGCTGGAGAGAAGCTGAGAGAAGAAGGAAGAGCAGTGAGAGTAGTGTCTCTGGTGAGTTGGGAGCTGTTTGATGAACAAAGCCAAGAGTACAGAGAAAGCGTGTTACCATCAGAGGTTTCAGCAAGAGTAAGCATTGAAGCAGGATCGACGTTTGGGTGGGAGAAGATGGTTGGGTCGAAAGGAAAAGCAATCGGTGTAGACAGTTTTGGAGCAAGTGCACCAGCCGATGTGCTCTACAAGAAATTTGGGCTCACCGTTGATGCAGTTGTTGCAGCCGCGAAGGACCTTTGCTAAGCTCTCTCTCTCTCTTTTGATCATGAAGACAATTTCCTACCTTGTGTTTTTTGTGCTAGTGTCCTTTTCCACATGGCATTTGGCCGCTCCATAGTCACTAGAAATCAATTTAGTTACAATAAAAGGCATGGAAAATATGAGCTTAATGGAGTATAATTTTCCTTGAAGATTACTCTTTGCTTTTGAACTCCCATGGGGAAATGTGCCTTTGGTATTAACTTATTAAGTTAAATTATCTAGACAAAAACCTTGCATCATCCATTAGAGAGAGTCCCACGTGAGGTTGCATCTAAACATGTATCTGTGTGCGTAGTTTTGAGCAGTGCATCGAACTTGATGAACCATAAGAATAAGATCATATTACCAACGGCCAGAAAAGCAATCTCCCATATTTTAATCTCCTAAAAAATGATCATTGAGATAATCTTTCTAAAATAAGAAGATGGATGTCTAGAAAATAATGTAACTAAGCCTCCTC